CCTTCTTCTCCTTCCTTGATGCCCATACTTTTTTTTCAATTGCACTTGTTGTTGTTGGAAAGGAGCTCCAAACACGAGGATGACATTATGCTCGCTGCTCCATCACACACTGCCTTATCTTTCTCCCACTCCCCCCTCATCATCCTACTTATCTTCGACGCGAACCCATGTCCACTTGCACCTCCACTTCCCTCATCCTTCTCATCCTGCCCAATAATTAGTGGGAGTTTGAGCCATCATTGTATTATTTTTTCTTGTTCTGGTGTTTTTGAGGTTTTCAAAGAGGTCTTTCCGCTTGATTTTGTTGTTCAAATCCAACCAATGATGCAGGAAAGTAAATGGCTTATTCTTAATTTGATGGTATAATGTGGCGACTGTGATGCATGTTCACATAATTTGATGATACTTCTTAGCACAACAAAGTATGTTCTTGTGGGGTGTATGTACTTCCTCTCTTCACCACCTTCTTCACTCCTCATGATTTCCCAATGTCAAACATTGGCAAATTTTGATCACTAACCCCATAATTTGAAGACTCTTGAACATTGTTGATCATATTCATCATGTAATCATCCTAAACATGCATTACAAAAAGCCCTGGCGTACTAAAATTTCTCCTACATATGGATATGACATAAAACTCTAGTTGGGAGCATAGTCTCAAATAGTTGGTGCATGTGTCTGCCAGAGCCTGTCGTCGGTGTCCCTATCCGTTCGAGCTGCAACGCGTGAAAGGCGATGTCTGGGTCAACGTCTGTTGGCTGTGTGAAGTTGTCTCGGATGCTCCACCCTTGCGACCATGTTGGAGTCGTCTAAGGGTGCAAACGTGGGCATGGCCGAGGGCACGGGCCACCAATGATGATGGCGAGGGCGCAGACATGGGCATGTCCACCTCTGATACGTCTCAAACATGTATCTATTTTTTTATTGTTTCATGCTATTACAATATCACTACTGGATACTTTTTATAGCAATTATATTATTTTTATGGACTAACCTATTAATTCCGTGCCTAGAGTTAGTTGTTGTTTTCCGCATGTTTTTAAATTTTTAGAAAATCCATATCTACGAATGTCAAAAAACTCTAGGGATTTAATGTGAATTTTTTTCAAGTCACGAAGGCTCCAGAAAGTACTAGGAGCTGCTAGGGGGGCCACCTCAAGGCTCCACGGCCTGGTGGCCACGGGCTACCCATGTGGCATGGCCATGTGGGCACCCTGGGCAGTGCCTTACGTCATTTTGTCTGCCTATAAATCCAATATTTTGAGAAACCCTCGGTATCAATTTTATCTGATTGTTTCCGCTGCTGCGAGTTTCTATTTCAAGGAGATCCAATCTGGAGGCCAATTTTGTCACCCTGCCGGAGGGAGAATCAATCATCGGAGCCATCTTCATCAACCTTACTGCCTCCATGACCATGTGTAAATAATTTCCTTAAGACCTTAGGGGTTTATAGAAGTAGCTAGATGGCATCCTCTCTCCCTTGTGATTCAATACAAAGTTCCCGTGAGCTGTCTCAAATGACTGTGATCTCGCTGTTAAATGTGGTGTGGTGAACAAATAGTAGTTGGGCAGCGATTAACTTATAATATTCATATTTATGACTATGATCATTTATGGTGTAATTTTATATAGACATCATGTCCATGATATGTAGACCGTTATCCAATTGCATCTTTAACTAATACTCCACTGGTCCATCCCAAGACCGCTATCCAGCATGCATCTCGAAATATTAAGTTTATGACAAACACAACATTACAATAAGCATGATGACATAATATAGACAATAAAACTTTTTATTGGGGAGGGGTGTTTTGGCACCCAGGAGCATATGCTCATGGTTTTAAAAATGTGCTCTAAACGTATTTTGAAATGTCACAAAATTCTAAGAAAAAAGTTTTGTGCGTACATCTCGACATTCTATGTACTCACAAAGTCGTTTCGCGCAAAACCGACAATTTTTGTGTCATGTGTGAAAAAGACAAAATTTAGTGTTAAAAAGGGCTTTTCACGAGACATTTCTTTGTCTTTTTTACACAAGTCACAGAAAATGTCGGTTTTCCACAAAACTTGGTGTGCGCACATAGAATATCGAGATGTATGCATCAAATTTTTGTTCAGAATTTTTTGATATTTTGAAATGTTTTCCCGATGGTAGGAGCATATGCTCCCATGCGCCAAAGTGATTTTTCAAAAACGATCATCCAAGTGTGATAAATAAACCACCATTTTATCCTTATTGGCAACAATACAATACGTGTTCGTCCCTGTTCTGTCACTGGGATAGAATCGCCACAATATTGAACCAACTACTATGCACCGTTCCGTCTGAAGAACTACCAATCAATCTTGGCCTGGGGCGATAAATAGATTGGAGAGCATACATAGCTACTTAATTATACGACAAAGAAACTTCAAAAGATTCAATATAATTCCATGAACAATCTAATCATAAAATTGACAATTCATCATATGCCAACAAACACAACCATCGATTCTATCATATTGAGATGCCATATGCCAACAAACACAACCAACGATTCTATCATATTGAGATGTCATTAGTGAACCTATGGTCCCGGGGTCTTATTTTATTTACTGATAAAACACTAAAAATATTTTTCTTTGTTGTACCATTTTATTTATTTTATCTATCTATCAATCCCTACCATACTGTGCAATTTACCCTTGTAACTAGCAGGACAAAAAGCTTGACAACCTTCTTGAAACATTGGGAGCAGGAGTGTTTTATGTTTTGTGCGCAGGTACCGAAGACCTTGTTTGTTGGAAGAACTCATGTTGGTTCGATAAACCTTGGTTCTCAGTCGAGGAAAATACTTATTACTAGGTTACTTCACACTTACACTTGGGGGTTACCCAACAACTCATACGAGAGAGCAAGCAACCTCCAGGTTGATTACCTCCTTCGCCACACCGTCTTCTTGCTGCCCTTGCAGACGTGCTCACGGACACATCGGTCCTTGCGGGTGTGACTCTCTGAGTTTGGCAATGGGGCGATGGTCAACCCCACGAACTTCGCCAATCCAAGCTCCATGCGGCGCGTGCACGACGGCTAAGAGTGAGACGGACGACGGATGACGAAGGCGGGGAGGGCCAGGGAAAGGGACAACGAGAGAGAAAAGAGGTGGAGGTTCGATTTGGGAGGGTTCGGGTGGGGCAAGCTTGTCCGGTCCAATGTGTCGAACATGTTCGGACAACCCCATATGTGCCCCACATATAAACTGAGTTTGGCTTCGAATAGTCTAAACAAATGGAGTCGGTTTGAGGAGACTTTTTGTGTGTGAAAACTTCCGATCTATTCATCAACTGTCAAGGTAGTACAAAGAACACTAGAAATAAAATTCGCATCTAGGTCCGTATACCACCTAGCGACGACTACAAGTACTAGAGTGAGCCGAAGGCGTACCACCGTCATCGCCCCTCCCTCGTCGGAGCCGGGCAAACATTGTTGTAGTAGATAGTCAGGAAGTCGTCGTGCTAAGGCCCTATAGGACCACCACACCAGAACAGTAACCCGCCATTGAAGATAAGTGTAGATCGGAAGGATCCAACTTGCATACACACAAATGTAGGCGAATGAAGACCGGATCCAGGCGGATCCACTGAAAACAAATGCCGACCGGATCCCATGAGATCCACCGGAGACACACCTCGACATGCCCTCCGACAACGCTTGAAGACTCACCAGGACGGGGGATAGGCGAGGAAAACCTTAGTCTATCTTCAAGAAGCCGTCGTCGCCTCATCTTCTTGAGCATGGCACAAACCCTACCAAACTTAGAAAAGGACCTAAAAACGGAGCCCTCCCGCCGGCAAAGGCCGGGATCCACTGCGCCTCCATGGTCCAAGGACCATAGGAGATGAGGCGGACTGGCGCCGGCGCCGGTGAAAGGCAGGGAAACCCTGGATAGAGTTCGTAGGAGGCAGTAGCGAAGGGGTGCAACCAGTTTCAGGTTTGAGGAGACTTGTCCCCACAATGTTTAGACTGTCAGTCCAGACAAATGGGTCTGACTTGGAGATGCTCTAAGTGTAGTTGTTTACCCTAAATTTATTTCGTACAAAATTTATACCAACCTGATGTTAAAAAAATCTAAAGCCTCATTTGGTTTACAAAATTTTGTAGGAATTCTAAAGGATAAAAAAATTCTAGGAAAAATGTCTTTGAAACCTTTTGGTTTGTAGGATGGATTTCTATTTCTATGTAGGATAGGAATCAATCCTTCACATTTTAAAGGAAAAAAACCATTAGTTTAGACTCAGTGAAAAAAATTATATCCTATGGATCAAATAACATCTCTTCCCTTATAGAAAATGGGATATATATATTATCTCACCACCAATGATTTTCCTATTCCTATGATATTATTATCATGTGAATCAAAGGAGGCCTAACCTCATATGCAGTTCATTTCACTAGTTCCACATTGGTATTTTTCCCCATTGAAGGGTAGATATCAGGTGATACAATCCTTCATATGCTCACATGCTACAAATTTAGAAAAGTAATATTTAGATGTTTCAAAAAATTGAAACTGTTTGTGAATATTCACAAGACATATGTATATAACCTTAAAAAATTCAGCTCAACATTCTAAACATACATTGAGAAACAAGAAAGATATCCATATGTGAATAACGTCAATTTTTTTGTTGATAGCTTACCAAACTGACTGTTGGTGTGAATAGTGTCATTTCTCACACTTTTCATGTTTTGTCTTCTTTTACACTATTCATTCTAGATTTGACCTTTTTGTTTCTCAATATGTGTTTTTAATTTGGATCTGAATTTTTTAGAGTTTGTAGTGAGTGAATATTAAAAAAACCGAATTTTTGATAAAACATTTAGATATGTTTTTTTTTAAGTTGGAACACGGGAGCCTGTGAAGGATGGTACCACTTGATAGTATTTTCCCGGTTGAAACACACGGGCATAGCAATTCCCCGTCGCATTCTCAGCAGCCTCGCCGCCGCCGAAAATGCTCCGCCGCCAGCGCCACTTCCTCCCCGCCAAGCCCCGCCGCCGCCCGAAGCCCCAGCCCAAACCCGCCGCCAAGCCCTCCGCCCCGACGTACACCCGCGACGTCGTCCGGCGCGTGACCAACATACTCCGCGACCACCCCTGGTCGGCGGCGCGCCCGCTCCTCCTCTCCCTCCCGGGCCTCGTCTGGGACTCGCACGTCGTGGCGCGCGTCCTCAAGACCCACCCGCCCCTCCAGAAGGCCTTCCTCTTCTTCCGCCTCGCGGCCTCCCCGGCCGCCGGCCCCACACCCAGGGCCGCCTTCCGCCACGACCGCTACACCTACACCTCCATGCTCCACCTCCTCGGCGAGGCCGGCCGGGTCCCCGCCATGCTCCGCCTCCTCGCCGAGATGCTCCGCGCCGGGGTCGACCCTGACGCCGCCACGTTCACGACCGTCATGCACTGGCTGGCGCGCGCAGGGGACGTGGACGCCGCGATGCGGGTGTGGGAGGAGATGCGCTCCCGCAGGGGGAAGTGCCGCCCCACGCTCGTCAGCTACACGGCGTGCGTCAAGATCCTGTTCGACGCCGGGAGGGCCGCCGAGGGCAGGCGGGTGTTCGAGGAGATGGTGGCCGAGGGGCTGCGGCCCAGCTGCACCACCTACACCGTGCTCATCGAGCATCTCGCTGACGCAGGTGAGGTGCTCGACGAAATGCCCATTAGGCGTTTTCTTGCTTACCTGTGCTGTGCACTCACGACGTGGCTTGCTGTTCGATGGAATGCTTGAACGGACGGCTCGTCCATTGATAGTATGATTTTTCATGTTCATTTACACTGCATAAGTGATAGTTGTTCGCCTCGACATTTTTGTCCGGTTTGTTCAACTTTTGTAATATGATTTTTCATGTTCATTTGCACTGCAACTGCAAGACGTAATCCTTGGACCATCATATACTGACATGATTCTGGTTGTCATCAGGAAAATTCCAAGCTACTCTACAAATTATGAGTGACATGCAAGATGCAGGCGTAGAACCAGACAAGCCACTCTGCAATATTCTAGTCAAGAAGTGTGCCAGCGCTGGTGAGACGTCAGTGATGACCTTCATTCTTCAGCACATGAAGGAGAAAGGCATTGTTCTCCGTAGGCCTGTCTTTTTGGAAGCACTAGAAGCTCTAAAAGCTAGTGGTGAGAGCCCTAATCTTCTTTGGGAAGTGAATCCTCATCTTGCATCTGAAGGAATGGAATATGACCCAACATTTTCTCATCTAAGCTACAATACTGACAGAAGTACGATTATATACCTTTTGGCTTCTAGAAACTGGTCTGCTATCGAACAAATGGTAAATGAATTGACCACGAGGAATGTGAAGTTTGAGTCGCATATACTATCTGATATTATTCAGGCCAGCTGTGCAAACTGCAGACCATCATGTGGACTCACAGTTCTGTACTATGGTCTAAGAGTAGGCAGTGAACTTGACAGGTCTGCATATAGTTGCCTTCTTGGTCAATACATCAGAAATGGTTCGTTTGATTTGGTATCTAAGATTGTTGAAAGATTAATTAAGTGTGGCTGCAATCTTGGAGCATATCTGTTATCTGTCTTAATACTCAGATTGGGTTCTGCTGGGCATTCTTCATACGCGGCACATATCTTTGGGTTATCACCTGCAGACCAGAATGTGATTACCTACACTGCCCTTATGAATGCCTATTTTCAAGCTGGCGAAGTTGATAAGGCTCTTGAACTATTCTCTCAAATGATAACTAATGAGATATCTGCTTCTGCGGGTACATATGAAGTACTGATATATGGCCTACAAAAGGCTGGGCGGAAACAGGACTCTGACCGTTACCGAAGAGAAAGAATGGAGATGCAATGGCATCGTCAGTACCGTGACAAGCATTCCCCTGAAGATAGCTTATGTGACCATTTATTTTGTGGCTTTCATGGTTAGAAGATTGTTTGTTGGGTGATGTTCCATACTTGGGCTTTCCTTAGCTCTACCCACCCAGCTTCATGTTTTGTCACAGATTGAAGGTGTATAAATGGATCTCCTGATATTTGCTTTGACATGAAGTTATTAGACACCCAACATGCGATTACTTTTCCATGGCATGGTAAAAGAAAATAAAACTGGTTGATCTCTACGTGGTTGGTGAAACTAAATCGAGAGTGTCTCATGAAAGGATTGCTGAATTTGGAACCTAGAATGTATAAGCTGACTCTTTATGTTAGTGACGACTGCTGATGTAAAGGAAGAAAATCCATCAGAGCTGAACCGTGGAAGGGTGAAAGCGCATCATTGGAGTACTATGGAGGTCACGAGGCAGCTGGAGGTCTGGAAGTGCAAAGGAGCAACTTAGTTGTTGGATAGCTTGTTGGAATTTAAGGTAATCTAGGTAGACGTGCTTCACCATCTGCAGTAACATATACTCTGTATTTCAACAAGCTAATCATAGCTAGCTCAAAACACACACTTTGTAGTTTGTACCAAGTAATCTAGGTAGGGAGGCCTTTCCCCATGTGTTGCTTGAATTTTCTATCTCAGTCTTCTATTTTCTTGTTTGTAACAATTATTTTGGCTGATTCTCTGTCAAAATTTGATAATTGTAAATATACGAGATATCATTAAAATTTTGGACGATGTCCTGTAACTTTAGCATTTCCTTTTTGTGGTTGGTGCAATGTTCAAATAGTTCTAAACTGATCATTGTTAAATCAAACAGGGGCTGGTAGTGATCACCTGCTACCATTCAAACCAATCAAATACAGATGAATGCATAACAGGAGGACACAACCTACCCCAATTTGCTTGGGACAAAAAGGCTTTGTTGTTTTTGCATTTCCTCTCCCTTCAATTTTAAGTGGGGTGAAAGATCTGAGCTCTTAGCACCGGCTCACCAATGGTAAAACAATCAGATAGAAAACCGCTGAACCAGGGGACCTCTCCCTTGACCGACCCGTCTCACCCAGCTATTCCTTCATGACTAGATGGGTAGATGTGCTTCGCCATCTGCAGTAACATATACTCTGTATTTCAGAATCGAGATTGCAGTATACATAATTAGTTTATAATCTAGTAGGAAAGAAAGAGTCATAGAGTGAAAGTATGTGTGTCTATGCGCAGATGGCCCTGCAACCACTTAACCCGGTAATTCATATTCACCATGTGCCATGTGCAAGTTGTTTTTACTCAGCATCCAAGAGAGTAACTTTAGATTGCTTCTCTTTTCAGCAAGAGCTCAAGGATCCGTATCTACCTTCTGAATTAGGTACTGCAAACAAACAGCCAACGAATTATTTTTGCAAATCGTTAACTGCAAGTGACAAGCACGCAGCTGAGAAAGTGTTTCCTCCATTGGTCTGTGCTGCTTCTCTACGCTTTCTAGATTGAATTTTGAGTTTACTTGGTTTCATGGTGTGAACCGGATCATCAACCCTTCTTCTAACTTGGCTTATAACTTCTTCTTTTTTTGTAGGATTTCACGATGCAACCTCCAGCACAGGAGTTGTCTGCGAAAGACCTTCATGGCAATGAGTAGAAACTCATTAGAGCTGACGATGGAGGGGATGTTGCGTGCTAAGAGATGATCACCTGGAGCACCCCATCTCTTCCATTTCCTCGTCCCACTGTCATCCAAGTCGCCTATTTTAAGCACGCCTGCAGTTTGAGTGGCGGTGATTAATTTAGACTTAGAGGTGTGAGATAGTTAAGCTCGCTTTCGTTAACCGCTCCCTTCTACTACCTCGCAAGACCATTGGAAAGCAAGATGAACCGTACAAGCATTTGCCTTTCCCCCAATGGAAAAAGGAAAGGTGGCAGTTTAGCCACGGCCACAGCTTGAAGCTTAACCACAATGGGAAAAAAGGGAAGGTAGCAGTTTAGCCACCTCCTTGGCTCGAAGCTTAACCACAATATAAAATCAGCTGGTCAGTATTATATCATGCGTGATTCATTCCAGTCAGGAAGGGTAGCTGCAATGAAGATTTCCAGCAAAGGAAAGGCGTTCCCCATGGGAAACTACAAGCAAGGAAAGGCTTGAATTCTCTGGACACCCTGACAACAACCACATTAACTGCGGTGTATAAACAACATGTCATCAGTGAAGAAAATTTTGGCGAAGTGACCCGCAGATGCTCAAATCTGACCTAGAAATAGCATCTGTGCCCTGCATAGTCCAGGGTTTCTATGAATTTGGAAGTTGCCACTTAGCAGGTTTCCATGGGTGATAGTGATACAGAGATAGGCTGAAGAAAATTGGGAGCGATGCACCATGGCAATCCAATTTGAAGTGAAGCACCTGAATGTAACGCCCTCGATGCGGCTATAGCTCCCACGTGTCGAGGCATAACCGCATTGAAAGCAATGTCGCAAGTCAGGCAATCATTACAACATCCCATGTAATATATCATAAAAGGGGGAGATAACATAGTTGGCTTACACTCGCCACGTCACATCAGAGTACATAAATAACATCCATCATACAAATCACTCATGGCCCGACTACGGTGCCAAAATAGAAAAGACCCCCAACATGCGACAAGGCCCTGAATCGATAACCCCAACTAGGCACCACTACTGATCATCCGGAAAAGACACGTAGTATCGCTGAGAGTCCTCCTCGAACTCCCACTTGAGCTCGTAATCGTCAACTGGAGCAGAAACACCTGGACCTGCATCTGGAGTTGTAGTATCTGTGAGCCACAGGGACTCAGCAATCTCACACCCACGCGATCAAGACTATTTAAGCTTATAGGACAGGTACAGCAATATAAGTGGAGCTGCAGCAAGCGACTAGCATATATGGTGGTTAACTTATACGCAAAAGAGAGCGAGAAGAGAAGGCGAAGCACGAGCGAGAATCTAAAGGAACATCCTGCGCAAGCATAACTCCAACACCGTGTCCACTTCCCGAACTCCGCCGAGAAGGGGCCATCACGGTAACACACACGGTTGATTCATTTTAATTAAGTTTAGTTAAAGTTATCTACAACCGGACATTAACAAATTCCCATCTGCCCATAACCGCGGGCACGGCTTTCGAAAGATCAATCCCTGTAGGGGGGTCCCAACTTAGCCCATAACAAGCTCTCACGGTCAACGAAGGAATAGACCTCCACCCAAGACACACCGATCAGACTCGGTATCTCGGTACAACAAGATGATTCGACAGGTTAAAACAAGTCCAGCAACACCGCCCGAATGTGCCGACAAATCCCGATAGGAGCTGCACATATCTCTTTCTCAGGGCACACTCAGATGAGCAATCCGTACAACTAAAACCAACCCTTGAGTTTCCCCGAGGTGGCGCTGCACAGGGCTCTAGTTCGGACCAACACTCAGAGGAGCACTGGCCCGTGGGGGGTTAAAATAAGATGACCTTCGGGCTCCGGAAACCCAAGGGAAAAAGAGGCTAGGTGGCAAATGGTAAAACCAATGTTGGGCATTGCTGGAAAAGCTTTAACCAAGGCGAACTATCAAGGGGTTCCCATTATAGCCCAACCGCGTAAGGGACGCAACAATCCGGGAACATAACACCGATATGACGGAAACTAGGGTGGCGAGAGTGGAACAAAACACTAGGCGAGAGGCCGAGCCTTCCACCCTTTACCAAGTATATAGATGCATTAAGATAACATAGCAATATAATGATATCCCAACAAGTAAATAAATGTTCCAACAAGGAACGGCTCCAATCTTCACCTGCAGCTAACAACGCTATAAGAAGGGCTGAGCAAAGCGGTAACATAGCCAATCAACGGTTTGCTAGGACAATGGTGGGTTAGAGGTTCAATCATGCAATTGGGAGGCTGACAAACAAATGGTAGGCATCGTAGCAGTGGCAAAGCAAAAGAGCGAGCAAACTAGCACAGCAAAGATAGTAGTGATTTCGAGGGTATGATCATCTTGCCTGCACAGTTGTCAGAGTTGACTGGATCCTCACAAGCAAACTCAACGGGCTCCTCGGTAGCGAACTCGTCTCCCGGCTCTACCCAACAAGACAAACAAGCAACAAGGATACAATCAACCACGGGCAAGACCAAGCAATATGATGAAATGACGATATGCTATGCGGGATGCGATGCGGGATGCAAAATGCAAGATATGACAGGAAATGCATGAACCTGGCATCAACTTGGAAAACCAAGTGTGCCACTGGATAGAGGGGATGAAATAGCTTGAAAACGATATAAAGATCATTGGAATCGGAGCTACGGTTTGGAAATGGCGAGCGTTTTACGAAACGAACCGATCTGCGATATACAGCAAGTAGGCTCCTAAATGCAACGAAATGAACATGCTACAGCCACCCAACATGAAAACAAAATACATGGCAGTGATGTACACAAGATGGTTGACAAAACACTAGCACTGAGCCATAGGCAAATTCATCCATTAAGAGGTTCAAACAAGCATGGCTAAAACGCAAATGCAAAACAGATTCCAGACTTAGTGAAATTAACACTAGTCTGAAATTTCAGATCACGATGCTCTCTTCGGAGCAGCAAAACAACATGATAGAAAATCTGAACATGACAAGTAAGAACATGGCATGGAGCTACTCAACAAGCTTAACAAAACACCCAAAGTGACCTGGGGCCAAAAGGGTTCACAAAATACTCTACCGAGCTCACGAACATAGCTCGAACACAATCAGTTTTCAGACTTAGTGAAAACTGAGGCATGCAGAAATTTAACTCACGAAGGCATGTAAACGAGCTCGATGCACTCACTACGGTGCAAGTCATGGCAAGGAAAGCATATAACCAGCAAGAAGGCACAATGTGCTAGCTACACATGGCAAGAACAAAGGCATAGCATGCATGGAACACTAACGGTAGCATCGGCAAAATCGCAAATAAGTTGACGATCTGCCCAGATTAACAACGAAGCAAAAGTTGAGCTCGATTGAGTCAACCTAGAGCACTCCACATATGTAAACAAAGACATGG